AACAAGGTTGGTATACAAAGATTCATGAGCTGAGAGACTTTGGAGTGATTAGAGTTTGCTAACTACAAATGTTGAGATTTTAAATCAAATCAATGAAGATTAGTACCAAACTAAAAGTCTTAAATTCTAATATGTTGTATAATTTGGTATTGTGATAAATCACTTAAATTGTATTGTTCTATTAAAAAGACAACTAAAACAATCACTAAAGAGTGTTGTAACTCTGCCATGGTTCTATGGTGAGGAGATCAAATGTAAACCCTAATTAAGGTGGTTGGGATGGCAGAAGAAAACTGATTTCACATTTTTTAGTCAGACATTTACAACTATTTTGACATTTGTTTAACCAGCATGAAATATTCATTTTTCGATGTTCTATTTTTGTTTATATGAACTCGTTAGAGCTAATGAAGAGTGTAAGGTTGGAGCTTAGCTTGTCATTCTTTGTTCTTTGCTGTCAGTTTGGTGGTGGCTCGATGAGCGCCATTCCCCGACGTCGACCCACTGGAAAAACAGCTTACTAAACATGACAATGCGGCGGCGGTTCCACACCCAACAGAATCGCCCTCTTCCTGTGCCGACACCGAAACAATCAGAGGGTAAGTGGCGGCAATGCATTGGAGTTCGTCATTAATTGAGATGTGGATCAATTAGCAAAGGAAGAGGTGCGCTGTGATCGATTGAGCGGCGCTTGCACGCATTCACATGGATCATCATCTCGTCGTCATCTTTGTTGTTTTGGGTCACGGTCTCCACCGTCGCCGCTCTGTTACCGGTTCCACTGTTCCCCGGGTCAGACTAACTGACTAGTGACTAGTATGTAGGTTGGTCTTACGACTTGGCTAGTAAGTAACTAGTTCACTAGACCTGCCCCTATACTGGGTTGGTAGGGTGAAGGGGCTGCCTTGTAATGTTGCATTACCTACCTGATATTACCCATTTGGGTGGGTAGGGCAAAAGATGACCTAAATTGGGCTTTTATCTATCAAGATGGATGGATAGATGGATTAAATCTATCTGACACTAGTCTAGCTTTTCTTTGCTTTGCCCTTGTTTAGTAATTTGTGTTGCTTCCTTCTTTGCCCTAATATTTCTAGCTTATTACCTTGCCCAACTTTAGGTCACTTTGTCTTTCTTGATTGAACTAGAATTTAAAAAATTTGTATGCATGTACTTCTTGTCCATGCCATCTTGCAAAAATCAAAGCAAGAAGAGCAAAGGTTAAGATGGCTTAGGCAAAAGGGAGAAAAGTGGCTGAGTATTGAAAGAAGGGTTCAAATAGGAAAATAAGTTTGCACCACATGCCATTGGATTCAAACTTGAGACTTGTGCAATATAGTTAGAGTCTAGAACCATTGCATCAATCTTTCAAAGACATGAAATTCCTTTCAAATCTTACTTAGTTGAAATTGATTTGTCCTTAGTTGGTTGTATTGGTTGTCTCTAGGCTAGCTTGTACATCACCCGTCATTTGTCATAGATATACATATATATTCTAGTAAATACCTATATGATTAGATAGTAATAGATAAAATTAGATTAAATACATAATACCTTCTAAAGAAGCTTCTTAAAAGCTTCATTGACGTTGTTTTGACGTAACATATGTTTGTAGTTGATTGGTAGGTTAGAAACTTGATCAACAAGTTAACCATATGTTGGTAGCTTGCAGAACAAGCTAACTATGTGGCGTACATATATAAAACTTGTCTTGCAAGTTAAGATATATGTCTTACAAAGTCAACATGTTTTAGATGTCCTATATGACATTGCCTTATAGCTCCTAATTAAGAATATATATAGAAGCAAGAGTGAAGCCTTCTTCACTCTTATCAACACTTTTTTAGTCCTTAGTCTTATTCCAAGACTTTCTAGTCTTCTTGTTTTTGGCAATAGACATTCTAGTTCAATATTTTATCATCTTTGAATGGCTTTCTAGTTCTTTTGAGTGACACAAAAGTATATCGAGGATTTCTTTCTTCAAGATTCATATCCTTGACATCAGCATGCTTGTATTTGTGCACTATTTAGCAAAATATATGTTCTTTTACATGTACATTGCACCATCTCTTTGATTTGTCTAAATTATTTTTTCTTCATATTGTACAAATTTGTAATAAAACTCTAGTTTTATATTTTTGAAGTTTAACATAAAAAAATAGATTCTATTTTTTTTTTATAAGGTCTATGTTGTGTTTTTGTTTTGCTTCTCTTTGTAACATCACTTTTCTATTACTACAGTATAGAGATCCTTATTATACAAAACTTCTATTCTTTTATTATCTTCAACATTTTTACATCTTATTCTATTGTTTTGATTCATGCTACTATGTAATTGTTGCTACTATTGTGCTTTAACAAAGCTATTAAAGCTCATAAAAATTATTTTTGCTTAGATTTGTCTCTTCTTCATTGCTACATTATTGTATTGCAAAGGATCTATATCATAGGAGATTTCAATCTTTGTTTCAAATTAACTATTATTTTAGATTGTATTTATTTCATATATCTTGAGTTTTTTTTCTTTTTTTCTTTTTTTCTTTTTTTTGCTATTGGTTATTATGACCATTTTTTAATTAATATTCTATTTTTTCTATATTGTCATTAATTTTTTGTCTTATTATGACAATTCACTTTTTTTTGCCTTTGTGATTCTTTGATTTTTTTTGTATTTATTGTTATGACTTTTTTTTTTTTAAATTAATGGTTGAAAATGCTTAAAATTATGTCCATAATTAAAGAAATTGTAAAAAGAATTGAATGGAAATATGCACATTTACTTTTTGAATAGATTCACTTTTTTTTAAAAAAATTACTGTTATTGAAAATCACAAATTTAAAATGCTTGAAACTTCACTCATATTTCAAATGGTTTGTATACATCTTTGAGCAAATTTATGCAATTCAAACAAATTCACAATTCTATTAAGAATTTTTAGCTTAAAATGCTTGAAAAGTCATTGATAAGCCAAGTCCTAAATCTTACATAGTTTTTGTGAAAACCCTTGAAAAATTGCTTTTGCATTTTTGTCATTAAAAATTACTTAAAACCAATAAAATACTCATTTTGGTTGAAAAAATAGGTTGATAATAAATTGCTTTAAAACCAATGTTATAATTAATATAAAATTCATTAAAAAATTAAATTAGAAAAAACCAATAAACTTTGTTTTTACATCTTTTTAAACTATTTAAAGTAACAAGTATATATATCATTAATGTTATTTTTTTAAAAAAAATTGAAAAACTTACACCTTGCTTCATTTAAATTTACATTTTGATATTATTATCCGAAATAAAATATAAACCTAAATTA